AGAGATAAAGACGACGACTCATGATTATAAATTGGCAGTGTGGTTGACCCTTCTACAAGATCGAGAGCAGCAAAAGACAGGGGGAGAGCTCTTCGGGCGACGAATATTGGAGATGGTGTGAAGAAGACCGTGCCGTCGGATATGGCGCTGCATGAAACTGGCACGAACGCAAAAGAGCATGGAGGGATGTAGGTGTCATCGCTAACGACAAGTTTAGCGGCAAACTGGGTGTCGACGGACGCTTGGTCATCCAGTGAGCAAAATTCGACCTCAGCCCTAGCACAGTCGATTACGGCGTTATGACGCGACAAAAAGTCCCATCCCAAAATAATATTATGGGAGCATGATGAAAGAACAACGAACTCTATCGTATACAGAACGTCCTGAATTATCACGCGGGCTGTACATACTGCGGTCGGTTGAACAGGTTGAGCACTGGCTGTGCGAAGCGATAATCCGGAGAAAGGCGTCGTAACCTTACGAATTGAGCGGCAAAATCCAGCATCTATTACCGAAACAGCTGCACCGGTATCTACAAGAGCGACAGTAGGGATATTTTCGACGAACACATCAATAACATTGGTAGGTGACAAATGAGGACTTGGGCAAACCGAAACTTGCGCAGTTCTTGCCTCAGGAACTGCGTCGTCTAGTTTTCCTCCTCGTTAGGTGCGGGCCGTCGACGCATAAGAGAAGGCGAGCGGCGGCGTGGAGAGGGTGAGCGAAGACGTCCCGGCCGAGGGCGGTGGTCGTCCTGGTAGCGGGCTGGCATTGGAGTGGAGGGACCGTATCGCGCGTTGGAGTCAAGCGGGAAGAAAGGCTCACGGCGGTTTTCATTGGTGATATGCGTCCGGCGGCGGCAATACCTTGCGACGTGTCCGGGGTATCGACAAGTGTAACATATCGGGTGATTATCGAGGGTGCGCCACGGGTTGGCGGTGTTAGTGCTGGTCCAGTGAACTGGAGCTGGGGGATAGCTCGCGCGAGGCTGGAACGGAGGCGCAGGCGCCTTGCGAGTTGGCATGGCTGCAGCCGCGGCGTAGGTGAGAGGAGCAGCCACAAGATTAGGCTCGCGAGCAGCTGGTAAGGCCTCGGCGACCTCTCCTTGAATGACGTCACGTAGAGATGATGGTAAAGTTGTGGTAGCTTCTGGTGTGAAAGGCACCAAGGAAAGCTGTCGTGCAACTTCTTCGCGGACAAATGCTTTTATTTCAGCCATTAGTGACGCGTGGTCATGACCACTGATCGCACTAGACAGCGATGCCAAATCGTGCGCTGGAGGACGTCTTGTCAGCGCTCGCTGCTTCCGCAATTCATCGTAGCTTTGGCAGAGGCTAATTACGTCGTTAACAGTGGTCGGGCTTTTAGCCAAGAGCATTTGAAAAGCGTCGTCGTCAATCCCTTTGAGGATGTGCTTACATTTTTCAGCTTCCGTCATTTCGGCGTTCACGCGTCTGCACAAATCGACGACGTCCTCTATGTAACTTGTAAAGGTTTCACCCGTTTCTTGTGCGCGTGTGCGTAAACGTTGCTCGGCACGAAGTTTTCGGACGGCAGGTCGATCGAAGACTGCTACAATCGACGTTTTAAATTGCGGCCACGTTCGGACGTCTGCCTGGTGGTTTCTAAGCCAAAGGCTGGCTACACCCGTGAGATAGAACGAAACGCGTGTCAACTTGTCCGCGTCCGTCCATCTGTTTAAAGCGCTCACCCGTTCGAAAGTCGAGAGCCACTCTTCAACGTCGTTGTCATCTGTTCCACTGAAGATTGGAGGCTCCCGCTGAGGAACACTGCCTGGACAGGTGGCCGGAAGAAATGGAAGCGTCTGCTGATCGGCGTCCGGCATAGCAGAAGGTAGCCGTCGAGAACGGAGTTCCAGGATGGTAGCGGGAAGGTGTAAGGGACGGTACCCGGCACGTCTCCACCAATTATAAAGGAGATTTATTAAGCAGAAAGGTTGGTGCTTGGAAGGCTTGGAAGGCGATGCACCAGCCGCAATTTCCGAGCTCGAGCCGCTGCTGCACACTCGATGCTGCTGCCTCTGCGCCGCAGTACTTCCTCTTCTTTACATATTTTTTATTTTATTTAAACATACTGCAGACCTGAATTTCGGTCCAGCCAAGAGGGGCATAAGAAGCATCATGTGATTCGTAACAGCGAGAAACGTGTAGGCCAACCGAGGTCACATGTCTGTGAAACAGCAACTAATTTTATAACACATTCGAACCACCAAGTCGATAACTTTCCAGCGATATAGCAAAATACTCAGCCAAAAAATTTTCATAGGGCAGTGACTTCTAGTCATCAACTGTTCTGGGCAAATAACTGGGCCAAGAATCCATCATGTTTAAGGTGGGCATTCCTAACCGTGGCTGGTAGAACGCAATAAGGTACTTTTAGGAAAACTTTCCCAGACATATTTTGTATAAAAACGTTAAACGATTCAACTTTCTTCTTGTTTTTAACAAGGGAATCTTGTGTAACTTCATTACGTTCTAGGTGAGTCAAGCTTTTTATAGTTTTAAAAATAAATCAGCCTTTGTTGTACTTTTACTAATAGCATAACATATTTTCTTGTAAAATGTTGCCATAACACTTCATCATACTTTAGTTTCGACAAAATGAAGGCGTTATAAGACGAAAGTTCTATGCTAGAAGGAGTACTTTGTAACTTCCTTTTCAGGAACTCTAATTTACGAAGCGCCTTTGGGCAAGTATTAGTTATGTGTGGTGTCCAGGTAAGCTGCTTTCGTGACTCAGACAGATGCCACTTCATCATTTGGGCTTCAATGTCACATGTCACGTTTACTTACTTCCCGCTGCCGTCGTTCTCAAGACGTGCAAGGCGGTAGATCCGATATGTTGCCCCGCCACGGTGGTCTAGTGGCTAAGGTACACAGCTGCTGACCCGCAGGTCGCCGGATTGAATCCCGGCTGCGACGCCTGCATTTCCGATGGAGGTGGAAATGTTGTAGGCCCGTGTGCTCAGATTTGGGCGCAGGTTAAAGAACCCCAGGTGGTCGAAATTTCCGAATCCCACCACAAGGCGTCTCTCATAATCATGAAGTGGTTTTGGGACGTTAAACCCCACATATCAATCAATCAATCAATTACGTCTACAAAGTGTTTGACCTTATTGATAGGAAACTAGGATGGCGAGCCGTACAGGACCAGGCTGTTCAGAAATTTGCTCCTTTTATTCTCCTCCCTTCCTCCTCTTCTTCCTAGTGCAGCACATAAGCCGTGTACCAATATGAAGGCAATGGCAACGCCACTTGGAAAAACCTGCCGAGAGCATTCATAAAATGACTATCACAATGAAAAAAATACCATGCCTACCTAAGTGAAGCTTCAAAAGTTCACGCAGCTTCTCCGCCTCATTTTTTTTTGCAACATTTATTGATTACAAAAGTACCTTATCCTCGTAGAAACATATTTCTGTAGAAGATATTCCTTGTTTTTTAAACACAAGAATGACAATTTTATATTCTCAAACACTCTCTTTGGTGAGCTGCAGCCATTTATGCCTCATGCATTCAGCTGAAACTCTTTCTGGCATAACGCACAGATCAATGTTGCTGTTTTGCGAGTAGAGAAGTTCTTTTCTGGAAGTTATCAAGAGAGCTGTCACACTAGTAATCGGTGGGCTGCGGAGAGGTTTCCGACAACTTCTATATGCCATTTCTATCAACTCTCGGCATATGAAACCTACCATTTCTACTGAAAAACCCAGTGGCGCAGTCCGAATGCCAGCATGATTATTGAACCAGTAGAGCACTGGTCTTCTGGACACTGGTGCGCGACACATGGACGCTAAAATATTGTGAAGCACTTTCGGCGAGGACTCAAATCATGACTAGTTGATTGCCACTGTTCCTGACGAGGAAGGTATAATATAACAGCTGCTTGTTGCCGGTACTTATCTAAGGAGCGGATACATGGAGGCTTACAAAGAGGGTTCAGCTTAAATTGAGGATGACGCTGTGAGCGATGGATAGGAAAAAGATGGGTGTCAACTTAAGAGACAAGAAAAGAGATTAGAGTGGATCAGAAGACAAACTGAGGTTAAGAATATCATAGTTCAAATTATGAAGAAGAAATGGACATGGACCGAGCATGTTGCGCGTAAGCAGAGTAACTGCTGGTCAATGAGGGTAACTGACTGGATTACCATAGAAGGCAAGTGGAGATAGAAAATGAGGTTGTCTAATGAGATTAGGAATTTTGCGGGTATAAATTGGCAGCAGGAAGCACAGTACCTAGTTGACTGGTGGAACATGGCAGACGCTTTTTACCTGCAGTGGACGTTGTGAGGCTGATGATGATAAAATGACAACTTCTCTGTCTCAGAATCGACGAAATGGCATTTTTATGCGTAAATATATTGCGATAAAACCAATTTAGGTACAACATTCGAGAAATATACTGATATTATTTAACACTCATCTGATCTCTCAGCAAATAGCGTTTTGCGTTGATACTTTCACCATAATTTTTTCAGCATGTCTTAATGTGTTGACAATGGCCATGTGGAATCTTAAAAAATCCAAATTGCACCTTGATCAACCCACAGACACTACTAAAACTTTGTTATCGTTTCTGTGTGTGAAGCCTCATGTGCACTAGAAACTTTGTGGCAATGCGGCCGCGAGGGTACTGTGGTTACGTTGCTCGGCTAGTCAAACGAAAGTAGCTAGTTTGATGTCGGCTACAGCGGTCTCGTTTTGACGGGGGCAGATTGCTGGTAGGGCAATGTATTTTGAATTATGTGCGCATAAAATTTATTAGGTGTTCAAAATATATGGTACCGTTCCCCATTGGGGGCCCGATAACTATATATTGGTACAATATATGACTCCGTGATGTGAACTTGTCCACATATTCTAAAAAAAGCGAATATATGTGCAAATTAGGTTCATCACTATTGTTATTCTTCATTCCAGTACAATGTCAATTCAACACAGTTACTGGAAGTTAGTTTTTGTTATGCCGCATTTCAGTAGCGCTCCCCCAGTGGTCCAGGCCCGATTCACGGTGGCTATGGCACCTCACCCACCTGCGACGCTGTCTGACAGCAGTGGCCAGCCCACCCATTGTCGATACTACTCTTCCACTCCTACGCCGACGCCCGCATCGCAGTATATACAGAATTACCCCGCGGTGGTTCCAAACTCGCTGCCGCCTAACCTTCACTACAGTCGGCATCCACAGCAGTTGGTTGCCTCCCAGGCAACAGAGGTGAGTGTGGCCGCCGTACACATCTTCATTGACCGAAAGAATCCAGCAGTGCACTTTCATTAAAAGTGAGGGCATACTAGAGCTAGCGCAATTCACCACTTCAGTGTTCTAGAGCGAAGCTTGGTTAGACCTTGTTGATGGTCGGCATTTTTACCGGCGTTGCTGTCACCCCTGAACAGCTGTTCAGCGTTGGTAGATCTTAGATACTGCAGTAAGGAACGATCTAAATAGGACTACAGTTGGCTGATTTGATATGCATGCTGTGTTTGGAAACCACGCAACGCACAAGATAAAAAAACTAATCCTGGGGTTAAGACGGCTTTTATTCTCTGTCGCGCCGTTTTTGGCAAGCAATACACAACCACGTTATTTCCTACCCCTTCCACTGGGCAGGCGGGCCTTGTGCATTTCATGGAGTGAATAAGGCGGGAGAAAGATGACTGTACGACGCAGGTTTAGAAACTCTTATTAATGAAGTGGATGTGGCGAATCGTTCGAGGAGCAATGATCACAATTATATTTGCGATTTTACGTCCTAAAACCACCATGTCATTATAAGAGAGGCCGTGGTGGCTGTCACGATGGTACAGCAGTCACGCTGCTGGGCAGCTGACCTGAAGTTGGTGCGTTCAATCGTGGCCACTAATTTCTTATTTCAACAGGTCTGCGTATCTCAGCTTTTGCGCAAGAGAAGAGAACGCAGGTGGTCAAAAATTCCCGAGCACTCTCTCACCTCGTGGCGGTCATCTTATGAGTAGTGGCTGGTAAAACCCGCGGAATTCTTCTTACTCTTGCACAGTTCTGCACCTAACGTTCGGTGACGTAATTATACGGTTTAAGCGTTTCTCGTGCTTGGTATTTTCACCTGCAGGCACCTCCACAGGAAGGTGCTGTAGCTATGTGTGTGACCGAAGCTCCAGCGCCATGTTTGTCGAGCTCAAACAGCTTATCGCAGTGGTCTTCATCGCCTCAACAGCCTGGACCACCAAGAATGTCCCTCTGCTGCCAGATGGCCATGACAATAGGCTCGCCGTATTGCCCAAGGTGTCAAATATTCCTGCACTATTAACAGGTGAGAAATACGAGTTTATTTCCCGCCGCACTTATTTGTGCATTCTGAGTTCACTGCATTCAGCAGTGACGAACTACGTAGAATTTCCTTTCACTGTTCTTAAAAAATAGTATAGTGCGGAGTGTACTCGTATGACATTCTTTGGGTGGAGCCTTCCCTGGTATGCCGTTTTTAGGGGCACTAGCGTGGAGTCTTGAATTGTTGCATCTTTATAGCAATCCTCAGCATCCGGAAGGGGAATTAGAAGATTGCATAAAGCCATGTTTGACATTAAGTATTTGCGAAATCAGCACTGTCTGTGATTCCAGTGCTCAAATTCGGCTTTATCTGCACCTAAAGAGGGCTTTTCTTCCCCCATCACGAAACTTTTCACGAAAGCTCTACATAGCACCGCAGAAAAAACTATGAATAACCTCCCCGAAGGAAACCTTGATGGAATGCGAAGCAGCAGCTGTGTGCATGGCATTCACCAGGTTGAAACGGGCGTCAACGCGCGTGCTGGAAGAACGTTTTGAAGCGAAACTTTGGGTAGCATTTACTCAGGTAAACGTTTGTTTGAAACGCAAAAACATGGGAGCCCGGTTGTGTTTTGTGTAATATTTATAGAAAATAAACGAGCCGAAAGACTCGACTGATTCAGGCACGCGTCCGCTGTAGCCATAAAAATGCCGCCTGCTAGTCACTTGCAATGGCTGGCGGCTTCCGTTCAGCTGCTGCAGACGCGTAACTAAATCTGCCTAGTGTGTCCACTGTACGTGCTTTCGAGTGTTTTGAGCAGTGAATGGACTGATTAATATGTCGGGTTTAACTTCCCAAAACAACTATATAAATATGAAAGACACCGTAGTGGAGCTCTCCAGAAATTTTGGCCTCCTGGGATTCTTTAACATGCACCCCAATCTGAGCACACGGGCCTTCAACACTACCGCTTTCATCGGAAATACAGCCGCCGCAGCCGGGATTCGATCCCGCGACCTCCGGATGGGCAGCCGAGTGCCTTAGCCCCTAGAACACCGTGGCGGAGCGATGTGGGCTCTGGAGAGCGTGAAGCGAGAGAGGTCTGTTGCGAGAGCTTGCTGAAATCAAGCGCTGCTGTGGGTGAGGGAGAGTGATGCCAACGCGTAGCTGTGACTTGACCTGCTCAGAATCACTCCGACACTTGCGGCGACAGCGTTCATGCGGATGCACAGTACAATGTTACACAGGCTAGTCATGAAGTTGCTTCGCATCTTGAAATTCGACACATCACACGAATTTGGTTCTCTTAAAGCATTTTACACCGCAATATGTTTTTACTAAATTTGAGTATTGATATGTGCTCTGAAATGGCATCGCTAGATCTCGCGGTGCCGCCATCGAGCGAGTCTACAAAAGTTTTTAAGTAATTACAACCATCATTTTGCTGGTAATGACTCTGCATCTTGTTCTTACACTGCCATCATTGCTATCACATTACCGCCGACAAAATCGAGCAGACCTTTTATTTTTTTACAAACTAGTTCGCGGTATGATATCGTGCCCTTTGCTTCTTATTTCTGTAAATTTTCGGATTAAATATAGGTGGAGCAGAATGATTCGACCATTTCATGTACCTGCCAACTTCTTTCAACACTCTACTGGTCACAAAATACAATGTGTATGTAATGTTAATTTCATGCTCTTGATTGTTTTCACAGTTGAATGTAAAAGTTTATCTGACATGTGCACTGTGTTAGGACAATTTTCACACTGTACAGATTTTCTGCTTTTCCGCTTTTCAGAAAGTATGTTTTCTTTATTTTTCACTGGCCTTCTATGACTCTCGCCTTGTCTTTCTACTTGCCAGTTTGCAGTGATTTCTTTTTGTCTACGCCTTTTCGCTCTATTTACTGAATTTTTAAAAGATGATAGTGTTTCTTGGGAACCTTCGATGTAAAAATTTTGGTCTGTCTGTCTGTTTGTCTGTACATTTGTCTGTTTGTCCGTCCTTAACGGTACCCTAAACGGCACCCAAGAGGCCAAACAATACTCCAAATGGCCGACCCGATCCGCAGCGCCAACCAATATTGTTCAAGATTCAGCGTTCATACTTGTACAGTTGTCACTTAAAAAGCACTTATTGCGCATATCTGAGGCACCATAACGTCCATATTCTGTATGTGTGTCTGCTACTACAAAAGGCATACATAAGTAATTCTAAAGACCGTAGCGTTTATCACGTTGCGCTGATCATGTAACGCTTGCTCGAAAAAGCAAGTTTTTCCAATGATTTGGTAGTGTTCACGGCGGTGGAACCTACCCGTCGCCTTGCGTTCTACACCTTATCACCTCCAAGACGGGCGCACAGGGTGCGCGCTCTTTGTTTTCCAAGACAACTGGCAGATAGCGCTCATGTCTCACGTGTCACGCGACTTGATGCTCGAGGCACTCTAACGCAGCGCCTCTGGAATACCATTCACCAATTTTCTTGCGCAGAACATCAAATAAACGTTTTGTTCACTCTCTCCAGACGCACGACTATCGTCTTTCGACGACATTTGCAGTGTAACAAGCAGATACGGGGCCATTTTTTTCTTTAGATGATTGCATTGTCTATTTGCATTGTTTTATTAATGCACGCGCCGGAACAAACACCTTATGGTTGTTCCTGTCGACGTTAAAGAAGTTATAGATAATGGAATGTGTTTAGAAATATTATAATCCTAATAATACTAATCTATTATAAATATTATCCCCAGGTAGTGAGATCACAGCGCGTAGAAGAGTATATGTTGCTGCTCGAGCCATGAGACCTCCTCCCCCTTCATGCTCTTTTGCCTAAAAAAAGACGGGCAGGGTGCTTCCTCTCTGCTTGAGGAGCAATTCATGGCGGGCTTCGCACGCGTGTTGATGTTATCGCATGCGCACTCCCAGCAATGAGGATGACTAGCTTGTTCAACCTCAGTCTGCCAGCGCTCGCGAACATTCCACTCGCGGGTAGAACTTATGGTGTACCGAATGGTGTCATTGACTTATTGACTTGCTCCTTAGGTACACAAAACGCTACACCAAGGGTCGGAACGTATCTAATGTCTGCATAATTGCAATATATATATATATATATATATATATATATATATAATAACGGGATTGACATTGCTCTGGCCTTCACTACACTTCTCAATGACACTTACTGCTCACCACTTCTTTCTTCATAAAGCAAGTGTACATAGAATCACCAAATGTTAAGCCTATCAGGATTTCGCACTTGTCGAGCGCACTGTTATCTATACATGCGCAGTCGCAAACGCACAAAATGAAGCGAGATTAGTTGATGGCGCACGATAGTAATGCAAAACGAGAAAGAACGTTGATCGACTTCTTGGCAAAGCAGGGTGCACAAATTTCACAACTGACATATCTTGTATTTGAACCGAACGAGAGTATGCACCCTAGTGGCGTCACGCATATCACCGAACTGGTGTCACGATGGTTGCCAGATGCCAAAGGAGAAAATAACATGCTCGTTTTTTGTAATGCAGTTTTAGGGCCCTCCAAAAAAAACGGAGGGTGAGCAAACGGGAAGAGAGCAGTCAACGCACTACAAACGGCGCTGAAACTGAAAAATTGTTAAGCGGCAGAAAACAGAGCAAAACACAAATAAGTTTACCTGTGCATTGCCACGCAATTGGCAATGCTCATCAGTAGTGCGTTTTTGTCTTGGCAAGAGACGAATCTGTGTCTTTTCTGTCCGTTTATGCACGTCCTGTTGCTTTAACATGACTAGCTTAGCTAGGCGCTGTTTTTTTCTTTTCATATCCTTTAGATATGTTGTAAGATGACGTGCAGTACCTTTAAGACTATAATTTATTGTCTCGACTATGAGCCCCACAAGCTAAACTGGAGTGGTGATGATGACTATGTACAGATAAAAAGATGGGGCGAGTAATAATGCTCACACTTTTTTTCCCCGCGCAGTTGAGCGGCCGGCCCGGCCTAGACTTAGGCGGGAAAGGTACGGCGTACAAAGGGTTTAAGACGTGAAACGTCCGGACTATTCGGAGTCGTGGTAACGATGGCCGGAGGAACCCTTGATGGGAGTGACAAGGTAATTGACAGGAGATCTTCGTTCACAAACAACGTAAGGCCCGAGAAATCATGACTGAAACTTTTCACACAATCCGGGTGTACGAACAGGCGTCCAAAGTAGAACTTCATCTCCAGGATGGAAGGTGACGTCTCGACGAAACCTGTCATAGCGTTGCTTGCGGTCTAGTTGACTGGCCTTCGTGTTGAGTTGAGCACGTTGCCGTGTGTCAGCGAGCCTGGAGACGAAATGTTCTGGCGTATTCGTGTACGTTTTTGTCGTTACATTGAAGAAAGAGGCTTCAATAGTGAATGTCGACACACGACCATAGACGAAGAAGAAAGATGAATACCCGGTGGTTCGTTGAACAGCGGTGTTCTGTGAAAAGGTTACGAACCGCAAGATTTTGTCCCAGTTATCGTGGTTCGGTCCGATGTACATGGTGTTACGACCGTCATCATTATTGAAGTTTTTCGGCCTTTGTGAACGGGACGAAAATATTTCGACGCATTCCAAGCAAGGATGTGCCGTCAAGACGGATTAATTTCCTCTCGGCAACCTGAACGAGAGGTTCGGGACTGGTTCGCGCAGAGAAAACGCACGAGCCAAAAGAGGCCATTGTGAGCTTGACTCAAGAAAGGCCATTGTGTTTGCTGCCAGCAAGGATTTCGAGGCAGACAAGAAGGCAGCTGGGCCATTTTCGAGGTTACGGAGAATTTGGAAATTTCGAAACCAGCATGGTATTTGCAGTTCAGGCTGAAGTCTAAAGCCAGACTGGTTGTGGCTGCACCTTGGGAAGAGAAGCGGAGCCCCGGATATGCGCTGCTACGCCACAGCTTCTAGCAAACAACCAGGAGTGGAATGTGGGGTTGAAGGAAAGAAAAGGGCAGTATCTGCTGCAGCACTTGCGGGAACCCGTCTATAGGACGAGGGATTAGTCGACCACTCCTTCTCC